CGGGTCTCCTCCACATCTGTGTCACCCAGTCCATGACCAAAAGGCAAGCGCCGTTTCTTTACGTGTCTCTCGTCTCTATGTGCCTCCTCCAGATCTCCTGGCTCTTCATCCTGCTCCTTCCTTCTCCAGTCTCCTCTGCAGCTTCTTCTTCTCTCTCTGCTCAGCTCCACCCTCCTTGGGTGGGGCAGGGAACCTGGAACCCCCATTTCCTGGGGACCGCCCTGTTACATAAACACTTCAGCTCTTTCCCTACTGTTCCCTGCTCACCCTGACATAATAGCCTGTCCAGCTCTTCTAGTCTCCCCTCTGCTGAGCACAATGACTGTGCCTCAACTGTCTATTTTTGTGTGCATTCTTGAATGCTTGACACATATTAGGACACATAATTTTTGAATGGATTGATGATTCTAGTGGCACTATCCAATTTGTGCTTTACAGTCACAGAATAAATGACAGAAGTCAGCTGATGTGTTGCTTTAAGAGAAAACTTTAACTTCTACTTATAACTTATAGTGTGTGGTGATTTCTGTGCAAGAAGAGTACAAATCAGGGTAAAAATTGTATCTTTATCAGCTTATTTATGAGCAGATAGATCAGATTAAATCATTTTATTAAGAGCTAAGGCATTGATCAGAGGAGATTTTGATTTGCCCGCATGATCAAGCATAAAGCAGTTCTTCTGGACAAGACTTCACGATGACAGGGGCCTGGAGTCACTAGCAGGTGGTGTTTCATCCTTTACCAAAAGGCCCCGTGCCTCTTTCAGCAAATAGACACAAGGAGAAAATAACTGTCCTTGTAGGCAGGAAGTCAGAAGTCAAAGAAATCTTAATCACCATTTGCTAAGTACTTTTTTTTTAATATTTAATATTTAGGTATTTAGGTTTCAAATGCATTCATCTTTATCCACACTATTATATGTATATATTTAAGATTTATATTTATTTATTTATAAAGATTTTTTTTTTTTTTTTTTTGGTGGGACCCTCGCCGGCGGCCGGGGAACTAACCGGCACTGCAGAGGCTGCAGGCAGCCTCGCAGCCCAGCGCTCAACCACTGCGCCACCAGGGGAGGCCCCTATAAAGATTTATTTTTATACACAAACTGGGGTACAGGCTAGAGACGCGGGAGGGTGAGAGGATTCACCAGAGCCAGAGCGGGGAGCAGAACAGGCAGATGGACCAAAGTACACTACTGAGGGGAGCAGTGGGGAGACAGGAGAGGTCTACCCTGCCATGTGGGAATCTCCCTGGCCAGCCAGGAATCGAACCGCTGTTGCAGAGGTTGCAGACACTTTCAAAGCGCTGCGCTCAACCCGGTGCACCACCGGAGAGGCCCTATTTTTATTTATTTATGCATAGAGGAACTGGGTTGTAGGCCAGAGGTGTGGAGGTGAGAGGATTCACCAGAGACAGAGCTGGGAGCAGAAAAGGCAGACTGACTGCAATACACTGCTGAGGGGAGCAGCGCGTGAGTCAGGAGAGGTCTGCTGCTCCATATGGGTCAGCTTCCTGGCCAGGGATTGAACTCAGGTCACAGTGGCTGACAAAGGCTTGTGAGCACTGAGAGTTTAACCCCCAGTGCTGCTAGGGAGAGCCCCAGGCTTTTATACATTAATTAATGACCAAAAATGAAGTTGTAAAAGATAAAAGATAAGAAGATAAAAAAGATGAACAGAGGTTTTTGAAATATTTCAGAGACTAGTGTGAGCTAGTTTAATGTTCTTTCTTAGGGTATATTTTATGTTTGAAGAGATTTTTTTTTTTTAATTATCACAGATATCTAAGAAAAGTGGACAGGAAAGAATAGGATTTCTTTTTATACTAATACTATTCCAGGTATTCAGACTTAACTTTTAAATCACTTTTTTTTTTTTCCAAAAAGGGCAACGCTATTTAGGATTTTAGAAAATCCTCAAAGAATGTAGTAGAACATTTCTAGTCTACAAAGCTCTACCTACTCTAGTTTATTGAGATATACCTGATATTTTAAGTTCAAGTTGTACAATGCGATGATGTGATGTATCTATCTACTGTGAAAAGATTATCTCAATAAAGTACATTAACGTGTCCAACTGTGTGTGTGTGTGAGTGTGTGTGTGTTAAGCACATTTAAAATGAACTCTCAGCAAATTTCTGGTATACAGTATAGTACCATTGTCAGTGTAGTCACCATGCTGTATGTTATTTCCCCAGAACTTATTCATCTTATAACTGAAATTTGTGCGCTTTGCTCATCATCTCCCCATTTCTACCCCCTATAAATTTTAAGTCAACAAGGGTTAATGAGTGTCTACTGTGGATATTATAGGCCTCATCTTCTATGAGGATATGAGGTGGTTTTTGTCTAAAAAGAATTCTTTTCCACCAAAACTCAATATATGAGTCCTAAGCAGGACAAACTTGTTGCATCAGGCAACGCCACACTGTCAAAGAAACCGAAGCCATGGAGCAAGCTGTTATGGCAGGACACTGCCAAGAAGGCAAAACCTGGCCTCATTGATTGAATGATTTTACATTCAATTACAGTCAATTACTCAAGAAAAAAGTTAGAAGGACGCGAATGTATGGTTAGGTTATTTAGGTTTTTTGGGAAGAAGACTCTGAGGAACCAGATTAGTTCCATGGCCCATGTTTGAAGATGGAAGTCAAGCTTCTGCTTACTAGCAAGGCATTACACTGATCAGTCTCTGGGATGCAAAATTATGCATCAGTTGATGGCTCCCCAGGCTTTCCTGGTCATGCCTCTTGATGTTTACTCATTGTCCCAGGGAATTAAGCATCCTGCTTTTGTTTAACTTGAGAGGAACCTTTGCAGGGTCTGCAGTTTGCACTCTTTAAGTTTAGGTATTTATCAACTGGGTCAAACAGACTTTGTACTGAAAAGGCCAAACTTCAAGGCCAGGATGGCAGCATAAGCAGCTGTTTAAGCCTAGCAGATACACAAATACTTAGAAACATTGGAAAATAAGGTGATGCTATTTACATTTAAGATTAACCACTAGAATACCTTGCATAGGCCTCCCAGGTGGCGCAAGAGGTTAAGACGCAACCTATGAAGCTGTCCGCAGCCTCTGCAGCATGAGTTCAATCCCCGGCTGGGGAGAAAACCACATGGCACAGCTGACCTCTCCTGACTAGCCCGCTGCTCCCCTCAGCAGTGTACTTTAGTCAGTCTGCCTGTTCTGTTCCCCACTGTATCTCTGGTGGATCCTCTCACCCCCCGCACCTCTGACCTGTACCCCAGTTCTTGTATGCATAAATAAATAAATCTTTTAAAAAATAATAATTTATGTTGCATAAAAGAGTGCTTTTCCCCACACCCCTTCCATTACTTTCTAAAGCCTGTGCTACCATATCCCTTTAGAAGTCAAGAACTCTACGTGTTTTGATGATGCTGAAGATGTTTTCTTATATCATTCTATTTTGATTCTGGAGTCCCTTCCTGTCCATGCCTCCACATCTACTCTATTCCATTCACATCCCACGTGGCCCCCCTTTAATCTTGCATGTGGACACAAAAGAAAAGATAATTTCTTTTCCTCTCTCCATGCCCTTCCTGAAACTTGCAGTGGCATCATTAATCATATCCCCTCTGCCCTCTTTTGACATCAAGAGCCTGTTTGAAATTTTTTAAATAGTTTTGTCTTTCTCTTTGCATTTTGCTATAACCACTGTAAACATTTTCAAGATACCCTGTCTCTTTAAATGAAAGGAAAGGCTCAGGATATCAAAAGCACAAAGATTCACCTTCCAGATCTTTTCCCCTTTAAAGTGACATTATAATATCTAGATTTAACTATTTCCCTTCAGTCTCCATTTCCAGTGCCTGCTGCTGATCATATGTTATCTTTCTTGCATCTATCTAAACCTACAAGTGTTTATACTGATCCTTCAAACCATCTGCTCTACCGATGACTATTTTCATCCTATGCCTGTTTGCTCAGTCACAATATCTTGAATAGTGCTAAGGAGGCTGTTCATTCCCATTGCCATCATGATGACTTGGTTGAACCTTGAGTGACATCTCAATTCTTTAATCAATTTCGATCCATTTCTCACTCACCTGTTCTGTTGGATTTATAGTTGCTATGGGATTAATATGCCTGTCATGTTAAATATTATCTTAGGAATGCAGACACATAATAAAAATAATACAAAGCAGTTCAGAGGAGCTTATGACAAAAGATAGCTGTGTATGTCCTGTTCCCACTTCAATTTCTCAATCCCAGCCATGTTTATTTGGACATAGCTCCTTGTATGGTGATGACACAGCTAAATAATATTTTCTAAATTGTCAATACATTTTTTCTTCCATAAAAGATGAAGGTTTAGCTCACAGAAGGTTTACCTTTTTCCCTCCTCTCTATCAATTGACATCACTTGTTGTAGTTCATTTTACATTTAAAACACATGGTGAGTTTGAGGAAGAATTTCTCATGTGAGTCCTATTTTAACTCTGCTCCCTTTCCTAAGTGGTATCTCCAGTTTTATTTGAGAATTCCACTTTTGCTTTACTTTTCATCAATTCCGTGTCCCATTTTCTTTCTGTCTTGCAAAATTGTGCAGAAATATCCTTTTTCTCACTGAGGTTTCCACTTAGTCTTGCATTTTGCTGTTACATGATTGTTCCTTCCAAGCATTTCATTGGTGCTTAGAAAGGAGCAGAACAAAAGCTTGAATCCTATCCGTCATCTTGGAAGGTAAACGTCTCACTGAGCTTTCTAATGAATTTTTTTTTTTTTTTTTTTTTTTTGTAAAACGTTCTGTAAGCTTCTGGTTTCTAGCTACTGCTGTTGAAAGCCAAATTTCCAAGAAAGCTGGCTGTGGAAGAGGCCTAGAGTTTGTTATGTTTATTAGGGAGTGAGCCCAGGTTAACACCTGAGGGAAAGGCAGGCAGTAGATTGCATTGCACTCACAACATCTGGTTGTGGGTGGAGGGAACCAACCCTTATAACTGAATCAAGCAGTCCTTGAGGGAGCTGCCCCCAGAAGGAATGTTTTCGAGTGTGCCGTCTCCACCAGCATCTGAACCCCAAGTCCTTGGATTTTGTTCTCATTCCTGAAGGTGAGTCTGAACCGCTCAGCACATCATCTACAGCCACAAAAATCCAATCTCTAGACCTAAAGTTTGGAAATGTGCCTAGTCTGTCACTAATATATGTTTAGTTTTATTTCCTACAGCTCTCCTGTGTAAATTCAAGTAACCTAATGGGGCTGTTTCTTAACTATCCCCCCAAGAAACACACCCCCTTTGACCCTAAGTTCAGCTCAGACACCATTTTATATATACTACTCTATTTCTGATCAGACAAGTTGAAATGACCTTTTCTGACTGAATTCTTTTTAGAATATTTTTTAACATAGCCAGCGATATTTATGGCATTTCTCTGTGTTATAACCATTAGACTGTGAATCTTTTCATTAGATTGTTATTTAAGGTTTTCCCATCATGGTTATTAAAAGGGGTTCTTAAATTATTTTTAAAATGAGGGAATACTGAAAAGAGTATAAAAAAGCTGGGTTTTGAGGCCTTGCTAAGCACTGTTTTCCTTTGCACATGGGAATCCTCAGTTTCCAGAGCTACTTGGTGGTTTTGTGATTTACTGATTATGAGGCCCAGGTGTCTCATCCTAATTCTTAATTGCCGTATGACCTTAAATGTATTATGTACCTTTCTGTAGCATTTTTTTAGTGTCTAAAATGGTATTTGTAGGCATTAAGAGGATTAAATGACTTTTAAAGTCACTTTTTCATAGCTATGGGTGAGATTATTCAATTAATGGGGAATGTTTTAAAATTTGCATTTTTTAAAAATGGCTAATTTCATTATCATATTACCTTCCTGACCAACTGAAAAGTGTTGCTTATTTTTACTGTAGTAAGAACACAGCATTCATTTTACCTAAAAAAAATTAAGTGCAAAATACAGGCACAATGCTCACAGCATATCTCAATGTACAATGGAAACTATACTGCACGGTACATGTACAGTAACTGGTACATGTAGTAACCCCCCTCACCCCATGCAACTTTCATTCTACTGTTTTAATGAGCTTGACTATTACAGGCACCTTTTATATGTGGAATCAAGCAACAATTGTCCTTCTGTGGCTGGCTTATTTCACTTTGATAAATAACATCCTCCAAGTTTGCGTGTTGCAAATGGGCTCCTTTTTTAAGACTGAAAATATCTGGTTGTATGTATCGACCATGTTCTGTTCATCTGTTCACCTAAATGTTCATGAACATTTAGGTTGTTTCCATGTCATGACATTAATGACTGATACTGCAATAAATTTGAGGGACCACATATCTCTGATATACTGATTTTGATAAATGTTTGAATATATAACTAGGAGTAAGATTCTTGGGATCATGTGAATGGTTATTTTTTTTTAATTTTGAAGACCTTCATACTGTTTTCCTTAGTGGCTGTACAATTTTATAATCCCAGTAATACTGTGTAAGTTTCCAATTTCTCCATATCCTCACCAACACTTATCATTGTGTGTGTGTGTGTGTGTGTGTGGCCATTCTAAAAACTATAAGATGATACTGTGGTTTTGCATTTTTCCAAATGATTATTGACGTTGAATTTTTTTATCCACTCCTTGATAATTTGTATGCTTTCTAGAGAAATACTTGTGCAAATCTTTTGCAATTTTATAATCAAGTTATTTGATTTTCTGCTTGTGTTGCAGACATTATATATTTTGAACAATAACCACTTGTCAGAGATAGGATTTAAAAGGTTTTCCTATTCTGTAGGATGTCATCTCATTTTGATTATTTCCTTTGCTGTGTCGAGTCTTCTTAGTTTGGTGTAATTCATTGTCTGTTTTTGCTTTTCTTCTCTATGCTTGTGGTGTCATATCCAAGAAATTATTAGCAAGACCAATGTTATGAAACTTTTCCCCTGTGATTTCTTCTAGAAGTGTTATAGTTTTATGTCTTCCAATTTAAAGACTCAATTAACTTTCATTTGATTTTTGTATATGATGTAAAATAAGATTCGAATTTCATTATTTTGCTTGTGACTATCTAGTTATCACAACACCAGTTGTTTGTGTAGTTTCAGCACCTTGTTAAAGGTTCTTTGACCACATATCAGCTTATTTCTTGGCTTTCTATTTTGCTTCATTGGTCTGTGTTTACACCAGTGCTATCCTGGTTTGAATTCTGCAGCCTTGTAATATGTTTGGAAATCAATACGTATGAGGCTCTGTTTGTTCTTTCTCAGTTGTTTTGGCTGTTCAGAATGCTTTGTGGCTCCTTATGAATCTCATGTCATTGAGATTTTGATATAAATCTCATGTCATTGAGATTTTGATATAAATTACATTGAATTAACAGATCTTAACTAGTAATATGAGTATTTTAATATTTAGTCTTCCAATCCATGAACATACATATTTTTTTCCATATACTTATGTCTCCTATAATTTTATAAATACGAAAGTTTTCAGTGTATAAATCACTTCCTTGGATAAGTTTTTTCATAAGTATTTTATTTTTGATGTTATTGTACATAAAATCGTTTTCTTAATTTTCCTTTTAGAAAGTTTGATATTAGTACCCTACCGCTTTACTGAATTTGTTAATTTTGACATTTTTGTTTTGTGGAATATGTGGGATTTTCTAAATATAAGAGTATGTAATTTCTGAACAGAGTAAACTTATTTCTGGATGCATTTTATCTTTTTTTTGTTTATTTTTAAACCTAACTGTTTTGGCTAGTGCTTTAAGAACTATGTTGAATTTAAGTGGTGAGAATAGGCATCCTTGTCAAGATCTTGATGTTAGAGGAAGATTTCAGTTTTTCACTGTTGAGTAAGTGACCAGCTGTGGACTAGTCACATGGTTTTAAATATATTGAGGTAATTTCTTTCTGTTAAATATTTATCATTAAATGGTGTTGAATTTTATCAAATTTTATCTGCATTGTTGTAGGTATGAAATGATCATGAGATTGTTTTATGATAATGTGTTGCATCACATTGTTTTTTTCTGTGTTAAAATATTCTTGCAATCAAGGGATAAATATCATTTGTATGATCCATTAATGTACTGTTAAGTTTACTGGTATTTTGTTGAAGATTTTTGCATTTTGATCCAGCGACATTGTCCCATTGTTTTCTGTCCTTTTATCGTGTGTTTTTATCACTTAGTTATTAGGACACTGCTGTCTTCAAAAATAAGATTGGTAGTGTTCCCACTTTAAGTTCTTTTTGCAAGAGTTTAATAGGATTGGCATTTATTCTACTTTAAACTGTAGAATTTACCAGGGGTACACCCTAGTCCTGGGCTTCTTGTTTTAGAGAGGTTTCTTTTTTTTCTTTTTTTTTTTTTTTTGAGCTTTTTGTTTTTTTATAGAGGCATGTTTTATTTATTTATTTATTTGTTTGTTTGTTTATACAAGCACTGGGTACAGTCAGAAGCGTGGGAGGGTGAGAGAATTCCCCAGAGCCAGAGCCGGAAGCAGAGCAGGCAGAAGGACCGAAGTACACTGCTGAGGGGAGCAGCGGGTGGCAGGAGAGGTCTGCGCGCCATGTGGGACCCTCCTCTGGTGGCCGGGGAGCAGCTGGGGACCGAACCGGCTCCGCAGAGGCCGCGGGCAGTTCGCAACCCAGCGCTCAACCGCTCCGCCACCGGGGAGACCCAAGAGAGGTTTCTTATTTATTCAATCTCCTTATTACAAATCTGTTCAATTACTAATTTCTTCATGATTTTATCTTGGTAGATTACATATTTTATCTCCTTATCTCTGGCATCAGTAATGTCTCATTTTTTTTTAAGATTGATTTATTTATACAAGAACGGGGTGCAGGCCAGATGCATGGGAGGGTGAGTGGAGTCACCAGAGATAAAGCAAAATAGAACAGGCAGATCTACTGAAATACACTGCTGAGGGGAGCAGCGGGCGAGGCAGGAGAGGTCTGCTGCGCCATGTGGGTTTCTCCCCGGCCAGCTGGGATCAAACCCGTGTGGCAGAGGCTGCTGACAGCTTCAGAGTACAGTGCTCAACCGCTTGTGCCACCTGGGAGGCCCAATTATGTCTCGTTTTTTATTTTACTTACCCGAGTCTTCTCTCTTTTCTTGGTTTGGATGTCAATTTTGTTTCTCTTCAAAATTCTGTTAATTTTTTTTGTTTTGTTTTTCTATTCTGTTCATTTTTCTTCCAACTCTTTGTGCTGACATCTTCTCTCTTTGTATTTAGTTTATTCTTCTCTATTCCCTTGCTGTATAAAATTAGGTTTCTTAGTTGAGATCTTTTTTCTTTTTAATTGTTGTCAATTACTGTTATACCCTCTCCCCCCTTAATACGAATTTGTTGCATCCCTTAAGTCTTGATATTACCATCTCTTCTGTTTCATTTGCCAGGATATATTTTCTGATTTCTCTTTGGATATCTACTTTCACCTGTTCATTGTTTAGAATGTGTTTATTTTCCATGTACTTGTGATTTTTCCAGTTTAAGTACTGTGATTAATCTCTAATGTCACTGTATTGTAATCAGAATAGGTACTTGATATTTGAATCATCTTAAATTTGTTTTAACTTATTTTGTAACCTAATGTATGCACAATTCTGGAGAATATTCTATGCACATGTGAAAAAAAATGTATTTTCCTGTTAGTGAGTAGAAGGTTCTGCATGTGTCTTAGGTCCATTCAGTTGACAGTGATGTTCAAGTCTTCTGCTTCCTGATTAATATCCTTGGTAGATGTTCTGTTCATATTAAAATTGGAATAATGAAATATCCTTTTTTTTGTATTAACATGTAATTCTCCCTTTGGCTCTGTCAATATATATTTAAGTATTACAAATTTGAAAATATATGAGGTATATACCATATTTTCCTGATAAATCGGCCCTTTTGTTATAATAACTTCCTTTGTCTCTTAAAATTTTTGGTTTATTGTTTATTTTGTCTGACAGAAGTATATTCTCCACTGCTTTTTTTGATACCATTTGCATGAAATCATTTTTCCATCCTCGCATTTTCAGCCTTTGTGTGTTCTTAAATCCTAAAGTGATTAGACGTCATAATTGGATCTTGGATTG